AAAAAAAAAAAAAAAAATTTGTGTATATGGCCTGACATGTTCTGGAGAACATATGTCTGGAGAATGTTCCATGTGCCTCGAGAAGAACTCATGCTCTGGTGTTGTTTGGTGGAACCTTCTATATGTGACCATTGGATCCAGTTGGTGTAGTGTTTTTCAAGTTCTCTATTTCATTATTTATCCATCTGGATCTCCTAACCATTATTGAAAATGGGGTACTGAAGTCTCCAAAACTATAATTGTGGAATTATTTCTAAATATGTTCTCACTTGTATGTGAAATCTAAAAACATCAAACCATAGAAGCAGAGTATAGTACAATGGTTATAAGAGGCTGGGATGTGGGAGATGGGGAGATGTTGGTCACAGGATATAAAGTTGCAGTCAGAAAGGAGGAGTAAGTGGTAAGTATTTAAGGTGATGGATATGTTACTAGCTTGATTCAGTCCTTCCACACTATATATATGTAACATTGCTTTGTACCTTATAATTATGTAGGATTCGAATTCAACAACAACCAAAAACCTTAAATAGGGGCAGGGGTGTAACCCAGTGGTAGAGTACATACTTAGCATGCATGAGGTCCTGAGTTCAATCTGACACTGAAAAGAAACCAACACAAAACACTGAAGCCAGGTACAACAGCACAGGCCTAAGATGCAGTCACCTGGGAGCTGAGGCAAAAGGATGGCAAATTCGAGGCCAGACTTAGCAACTCAGTGAGACCCTGTCTCAAAACAAAATTAAAGGAAGCCAGGTGCGGTGGCTCACACCTGTAATCCTAGTGGCTCAGGAGGCTGAGACAGGAGGATCACAAGCTCAAAGCCAGCCTCAGCAACAGCGAAGTGCTAAGCAACTCAGTGAGACCCTGTCTCTAAATAAAATACAAAATAGGGCTGGGGATGTGGCTCAGTGTGCGAGTGCCCGGAGTTCAGTCCCTGGTGCCCAAAATAAATACATTAATTAATTTAATTAAAGGGCTGGGCGCAACCCTGTAACCCCAGCAGCTGGGAGGCTGAGATAGGAGGATGGGAAGTTCAAAGCCAGCCTCAGCAAAAGCAAGGCGCTAAGCAAGTCAGTGAGACCCTGTCTCTAATAAATACAAAATAGGGCTGGGATGTGGCTCGGTGGGAAAGTGCTCCCTGAATTCAATCCCTAGTACCTCCTATCCCCCAAAATAAGCTGGGGATATAGCTTAATGGTAAAGTCCCTGGGTTTTAACTCCAATACGGCAAAATCTTTTTTTTTTTTTTTTTTTGATGATGCTGGGGATTGAACCCAGGGCCTTGTGCATTTGAGGCCAGCACTCTCCCAACTGACCTATATCCCCAGCCCCAGTACAGCAAAATCATAATTATTATAATAAAAATTTTTTAAGAGTTGGGGTGTCGCTCCATGATACAGCAATTGCCTAGCTTGTATGATGCCCTGGGTTTGATCTTCAGTACTGAAAAAAAAAATTAAATGAAAAATAAGTAAATAAAATAATGCTCCTACGAACATTCACGTATGTATATGTTGAGGATAAATATTTTCATTTTTTTTCTGGGAGTGAAACTGCTTATCTATCATTAGATAGGATCATGTGGTTTTTGTTTGTTTGTTTGTTTGCTTTTAAATAGGTTCATGTTTATAAAAAATTCCAAACAGATTTCCAAGAATATGGAGCAATTTCTTGGGCTGTGGCTGTGGCTCAGTGGTAGAGCCCTTGCCTAGCATGTGTGAGGCATGGAGTTTGATTCTCAGCACCACATACAAATAAATGAATAAAAAAAAAATAAAGGTTTATTAACATCTAAAAATTTTTTTAAAAAAGAATTTCTCCCTTAACTTCTGTCAATATCTCTTTTATATATTTTTAGACCCTGTTTTTCAGCATGTATGTTTGCAATTTCTGGATCTTCTTGATGAACTGACCCTTTTATCAATATAAAATGTCTCCTGTAGTCTTTATTTTGTGACTCCTGCCTCAGTCTCCCCAAGTAGCTGTGACCCCGAGTGTGCGCCCCACGCCCAGCTCTCTCTCCAGAGTGCGGCTCCTTAAAGTTGTTCCACAGCTCACTGGTGCCCTTTTCATATTTTTCTTTCTTCTTCTATCCCTTCCCTTCCTTTTCTTTATTTCTGCAATTTTTTCTCTGTTGTATTTATATTTGGATTTATTCTTGTTATGTGTCCAAGTTCATTTTCTTTTTTTCTGTAATATCTACCAGGAATCCCACTCGGTAGACACTTTCAGTTGAGTCTGTGGATTTCATCTCCAGTTCAGTTTGGGTTTTTAAAATATATTCTGTGACTTCGTACTTAACTCTTGGTATCTATGGAATGCAGTTATGATAATGTTTAATATCTTCTGCTAGGCCTAATATCTGTATTATCTGTTCTTGGTTCATTTCAGTTGAATGAGTTTTTATTTTTATTATTTTCAATAGGGGTTGGTTGTGTTTTCCTGATCCTCTACAATACTTCTGGATTTTTGTTTTTTAAGTAATGGATATAATATCTTTGTTTTATTTATTTATTTTGTTACTGGTGAAACAGTTACTGGTGACCACTGGGCCACATCCCCAGCCCTATTTTGTATTTTATTTAGAGACAGGTTCTCACTGAGTTGCTTAGCGCCTCGACATTGCTGAGGCTGGCTCTGAACTCATGATCCTCCTGCCTCAGCTTCCTGAGCTGCTGGGATTACAGGCATGCATCACCATGCCCAGCTTACTGGTTTATTTTTATGTGGAGCTGAGGATCTAACCCAGTGCTTCATATGCTAAGCAAGCAACCTACCACCAAGCCGCAACCCCAGCACACCTCTGGATATTTTTAACGGATGCCAGATATGATGAATTTACCTCTTGGAACTGAATATATTTGCATTCCTATACATCTTCTTGAGCTTTGTTCTGGAATTTAGTTAAGTCACTTGAAAACAGGTTGGTCTTTTCAGGTAGTGTTTTTTTATGATGTTTTCATGGGGTCTGGAGCAGGAGAACCCAAGGGTGAGTGAGGTGTTGGAGAAGGGGATGCATGAGTACAGGCAATGACTGAAGCAACACCGTTAGTCAGGGGAGCATTGGGGAATTGGACTGCTCTCTGGTTGCTCATGGGATACAAAGCCTGGGTTCAGAAGAAAATGGGCCTCACCTGCAGCGCTGGAGGAACAACTGTCCAGGAAGAGTTTTTGTCACCTGACACCCCATCCCACCATTTCCTGAATGATCAGGCCATGTCATCGCACTTCTCAGGATGTCAGCTTGCTTGGTTACCAACTGGAGTTGCTTAAGCTGCCCTGGGTAGCTTGCACAGGTGTCCTGTCCTAGAAGAGAGGGAAGTAAAACATGTTGAGTCTGACATGGAAGCTAGGCCATTTCCACATACAACATGAGCACTGGACTGACTCATGGAGGACTCTCAGGAACTATGGCTGGATGTCCAGAGGATGAGCACAAACCTGGGTATATGGGTAGCCAAGAGGGCCTGAGTTCTCAAATTCATCACTTGCTCCCATGTCCTTGCAAGACAAAACCCTGGGTGGGTGGTCCTCCTTCTTTCCAGACTCAAAAGCCTGAGAGCAGCAGGAGATTCTGGAAGCCCCCAGGCTCCTGGGTTTCTGTCATTCTTTCTCTCTACCCAATTCCCTGCCAGAGTCTGACAGTGGTGTCTGCAGGCAGGCTAGAGGTCAAAGTGCCCATCTGCCCTGTGGTTCCCAGTGGGTCTGCCTCTCTCAAAGACTTGTCCTCATTCAGCCTTGTCTGGGGCTTGAATAAACCTAGGACAGCTCAGACCAAGTCACTCACCATGTCTGTTGCCAGGTAGCCAGTGGTGAGTGGTTCCCAGCACTCCACACCCACTCCTAAGGGTTCCCCTGACAAGAATAGGGTGACACGGGCCATCCCTTATCCTCATTACCACCTGATGACCCAAGAGGGCTTCAGTCTGGTTTAGATGCCAAAAACTTGATATTCTTTGGTGACTCCCCCAACATCAAGCCTAGAATAATCTGATCACTTGTGATTTGGGGTGGAAGAGGAGGCTCTGGTTCAAAACTGAATGCATATATAAATTAGTTATAGGTATGTACAGGTATGTATACACACATTTGAGGTAAATGTAGACTCTGGTGTTTGGGATTGAACCCATGGGTACTTAACCACGGAACCACACTCCCAGCCCTTTTTTTTCTATTTAATAGTTAGGGTCTCGCTAGATTGCTTAGGGCCTCGCTAAGTTGCTGAGGCTGGCTTTGAACTTACCATCCTCCTGCCTCAGCCTTCTGAGTTGCTGGGATATTGACATTGGTACACTTCACCAATCTTACTCAGGTTTCTCCAGTGTGTACCATCAGACCATGAAAACTTTAACCCAAGATTCCTGAGCTGCCTGTGTCCCCTAAGACACAGGAAGGAAAGAGGAGAACAAGAGGAATGTAACATTCAGGACACGGCCTATGAACCAGGCTCCTTTTCTGAATCATCGTTTAATCGTCACGACAGCCTGTTTCACAGACACTAAGACTGGACACAGAAAGGGTGGGTGGGCCTGAGTCCCGCCGCTGGGCAGGAAGTAACCCACGCCCCCGCCTCTACCCGCTGAGCACAGCCCAAGAGCCTGTCAACAAACACCGATGGAGGCCTTGTGGGCCGGGCGCAGGGTCCTGTCGTGAAGGGTCTGGGCTAGCGCGTGGCGTGACACCAGGCCTGGGCTCCAACCAGAAGGGTGAGGGCGACGGACCCCGGCGTCGCCCCCAAGTTCCGACTCCAACTCTCCGGCACCGAGGCGCCCAACCCTGACCCTCCCGCGGAAAGCGAGGGAACCACCCGAGCCGCCTGCAGCCCTGTGATCTCCTCCCCCAGCTGCGCAGCCCTCGGCTGCCCCCTGCCGCCGCGGGGTGGACCCTGCACGCCCCGCTGTCCCCGCCTTCTCGCTGCCCACCCCCGCCTCCGGATTGGCTGCTCCGGAAGGCTCGGGCAGTTCGCCTTCCGCTACCGGATTGGCTGCGCCCCGGGGTGAGGCCCCGCCCACCTCCCCGGGTCCTTTGATCACGCGCCCGCCGGCTCTTCCGGGGCCCGGGAGCCAACCCTGGGTGTTCCTGTCGGGGCTGCAGCGGCGGGAGGTAAGGCATGGCAGGGTTGGATGGGCTGCAGAGTGCAGGCACGGGTCCACACGTCAGGGTGCCGGGATTCCAAGATGCCGAGGCGCGGGGCGGCCCCTCCACGCTCCCCCAATACTCCACGCCCACGGCCTGAGCCTCCCAGCACGGTGGGAACTACCTTCCGCCCGCCGCTGCTGGCCAGCATCCTAGGAGCGGCCTGATGCGCTCCGCATCCTGGCTTGCCTCCTCGGTCTGGGACGGCGGAGCCTGTCGCTAGGTATGGGCAAGCCTGATACCCCACGGACACGGGGCAGGGAGCTCTACCTTGCCCTCTGATAGAGACCCAGGCAAACATGGGTCAGGGACCTTGGACAATCTTGGTGCAGCTGCTCCAAGACGATCTTCTCGCTTCTGTGTATGGGGACTGACCCTCTCCACTTCGCCTGTCAACCCTGGCCAGGAGGGGAGGGACCTGGGAGGAGTCCCGGGTGGGGAACGGAGTGAGATGACATCATCTCGAAGATAAGGTCCAGCCCTATCCACTGTGCACACACTGGTACATGAGACTGAGTGGGGTGATAGGGGGTGTCCGGGTTCTTGTGACACCAGGGCTAAGAAGGACATAGAGCCTACGCATGGAGCCTGTAGCCTGAAGTGTGGGGACTGAACCAGAACTGAGGCAGGCCCCTTCAGATGCTCCCATCTCACCTCTAGGTGCAGTCCACCCCTCCTGTTTACCTGATCTCCATTTTGCTCCACTGGATGGGTGCTAACAGCCCAATGTCCAGGTCTGTGACAGGACCTGGAAACCTGCACCTACCCTTTCCCCAACAATTGAGACTCCCAAATGTTCATCCAGCATCTGAGCTGGGCCCCACCCTGACTTAGGGATAGGAGCTGGACAGGAAACAGATCCTGGATCTGGACCTTCCTTTGGTGCCCTTTCCACCCAGGATTGGCCAAGAGTCATTGGAGGATTACACAGTGTGTTTTTGTAGAGGATGCCTCATCCCAGGGTTTGACCTGGGGCGTTTTTTGCAGATCTTGGGCTCTGGGGGAGGGGCTGGGAATTTGGATGTCACTGTAGGAGCAATTGATAACCTCCCTTCCTCCTCCCCAGGGAGCCCTGTGGAGGCACCCTCCCGAGGCACCACTGCCCATGCTGACCACCCAGCCCTCCTGCTGCTGATGTCATGAGTAACACCACAGTGCCCAATGCTCCCCAGGCCAACAGTGACTCCATGGTGGGCTATGTGTTGGGGCCTTTCTTCCTCATCACCCTGGTCGGGGTGGTGGTGGCTGTGGTAAGGAGCCCCCCACATGCACACATAGACACACCTGTGGCCAGGCAGGGGCTGGGTGGGCCTGGTCAGGTGCACACAGCATCTTAGCTGTCCTTCTGAGGGAGTGAAGGGTGTGGAGTTGGGCCTCCTCACTGTGGGCCTTCCTGGGCTCAGCAGCCTCCACAGTGCTGTGTCTCTGTTACAGGTAATGTATGTGCAGAAGAAAAAGCGGTGAGTGTCCCCACCCCAGTCTGATATTTCTTCCCATAGGATCTGAGTTGTCTGTGAGTGGTAAAACGCCCTCGGCCAGTCTGAACCAAGCCTGAAAGTCTGTTCTCCTTGCCTCATGCAACTCACCCGGGAGAGGCCCCTTTGCAGCCACATTGTGTCCAGGACACCCACTTAAATGCCCTGGCTGGGGGAGGGGGAGTGGCCCCAGGCAGTCAGGTATTTGATGGGGGTGAAGGTGGGGCTTGGGCTGAGCCCCTGCCCTGTTCTCCAGGGTGGACCGGCTCCGCCATCACCTGCTACCCATGTACAGCTACGACCCTGCTGAGGAGCTGCACGAGGCTGAGCAGGAGCTCCTCTCTGACGTGGGAGACCCTAAGGTGAGCATTCTTGGGCAGGGGAAATCAGGTGGAGATGAGAGAGCAATCCTGTCCCTCATACTCCTGAAACTAGACCCCATCCTGCCCTGGGCTTCCCCAGTGGGGCACCTCCTCCAAGTGACAGCCCTCAGTGTCTCCCCCCACAGGTTGTACATGGCTGGCAGAGTGGCTACCAGCACAAGCGGATGCCCTTGCTTGATGTCAAGACATGACCTGGTTCCAGGCCCTGACCTCCAGCCTCGAGAGTCCTACAGGCTCCTGTGGTCTTCACCCCACCCCACTGCTCCATCATCTTGCTCCCTTTAGACCCTCTGCCCTTTGTGGGCTGACCCCACCCACCCCCAGGCACTGACAGATCTCATTTTGGGGGTACTGTGGCTGGGAACAGCTTTGCTTTCTCTAACCTGCCTGAACTGGGCCTTGGCACAAACCCCCAGGAGGGATTTGGAATTGTTTCCATGGTTACAGGACCCACATGTATAGTATTCAGTATATATATTTTGTAAATAAAATGTTTTGTGGCTAGGGGTGTGGTTGACTTGACTTCAAGAAGGGTTTAAATTACCTCTGGAGCTCCTGTCATTGCCATTTCTTCTCCCAGAAATGGCCTAAGGGCGGAGAGAGCCCTTCCAAGTACCAACTTTGCTTCTCACCCCTCTACCCTGGCTATAGGGGCACACATTACAGAATGACTCTAGTCCAGAAAAGGATATTTTTTTATTCAAGTAACTGCAAATAGGAAACCAGAGGGGAGCCCCAGGCTGGGACAAATAATGGCCAACCTCTCCCCAACAGAACAAGGGGAGAAGGTGGCCCCTACACCCTTCACGGTCAACAGACCCCCCTCCTCACTCTGCTGCAGCATCCTAGGGGCAGGACCCCACCTTCCCTGGGACTGGGGTAGTAGGTAACCCAGCCTGCTGCACCCCAGTGCCCCTTCCCCCTGAGGAACACCTTGGGGAGGGGAATATGGTCGGAACAGGGGGGAGGGCATGGGGATGAGCGTCTGGCGCTGGTAGCAGCAGGTGACTGATGTCTAAGAATGAAACATTGAACAAAAACCAACACAACTGTCCAGAGGTAGTTTGTGAACAGAGGAAAAGATGGAACCAGAACCATGGGGGTTGGGAAGGAGGGGGAGGCAGCTTGGGCAGGGCAGGCTCCTTGTTGATAGCGCCCCCTCATAGGAAGGTCAACAGCTGAGAGTGGAAGCAAAGGATGGGCAAGTAGCCCCTGGCCTGCCTTGGGTGGCTGCCACAGGGAACCTGGGCAGTAGATGACTCTTCTCTACCCCTGCACTATATACTCAGATCCCAGGGTGAGAACAAGGTGGTAGGGCCTGTGATAGGGGACAGGGGCTCCAACTCCTGCCCCCTTTCCCATACCCCAAAGGGGCTGTCCAACCTAGTGCAGGGCTCAGGTGGGGAAGAGAGTGGGGAGTTCCACCTGACAAGTTTGGCTGGGGGCTCAGCACCCCTTCCCCATTGGCTACACCTGCTAGTGCAGGTCCAACAGGGGGGCATGTCAGAATGAGATGGGGTTTGGACCCCTTAAGGCCAGGGGAGCCCTCCCAGGCCCCTCTATGGGAAGTCAGAAGGAACAGTGGAGCAGAGAAGGGGCCCTCAAACCAAGAGCCCAGATAGCAATGTCCCCACCAAGTGGGTAAGGACTAGCAGGCGCAGGGTGCGGCTAAGTGGGACGTTAGCCTTGTCCAGGAGGGCAAGTGTGTGTGCATGGGGCAGGGGCAGGAAGGGTCGCTGGGGACTGAGGCTAGAGGAAAACTGCTTCCCATGGGACCACAGGGGCCCTGCAGCGGCTGGTGTGCTGTGTAGTGTGCAGTGGGGAGGGCGCAGGGGGGGGTGGCGGGCCAGAGGTGTCAGTGGGCCTGGGGGAAGGGGAGGGCGGTGGGAGCGGAGTGAAGCTGTCCAGTCCCAGAAGAAAGCTGCTCCTTGGGGAGGGAGCAGGCGGCACGGGCGGTCACTGCTCCTCTTCAGAGGACTCCTGCGAGATGCCCTCCTCTTCCTCCTTCTCCTGCAGAAGTGGGCAGAGCAGCTCTGGGTCTGGACCCCTCCTCTATCCCAGAGGCCGTCCCCACCCCTCCCTGCACTCCCAGGCTCTCCAGAAGGGAGATGAGTCAGGGCTGAGTGTGTGGGTGACTCAGCAACCTCCAGCCCTGGGTTTCATTCATAAAAATGAAGAATTTAAAAGGGGGAAAAAAAATACACACACATGCTGCTCACACACAGCCAAAGCCAGGCCCCTCGGCCCAGGGGAGGGCAGGGCTCTGCAGAGGAAGTGACTGGCTCTCTCCAGGAGGGAGAAGAGGCAGCCTGGAGAGGGAGAGGAATCAGGAAGGGGCAGCAGAGGGCAAGCCCTGGGGTGGGCGCAGAGAAACAAGATGGCCTTGGCCCACAGGGCAGGCCCTGAACTGTGGAGCTGGGCCCGAGTCCTGAGTGGCCAAAGGCTGACCCCGGCCCAGGGTGGGGAGGAAGGGGAAGCGCAGGCTGCCTGGGCTCACTCACTGGGCGGGAATGCTGCGACACCACAGGGCCCGCAGCCCCTGTGCCAGGCACAGACTCCAAAACAACTTGTTTCCTGTTACTCACTCCTGGGGCCTAGCCAAGAGTGCCCCCTAAGCCTCCCCTACCCCATGGCCCAGCTCTAGCAATGAGTGCCTTGGGAGTGGAGGGGCAGGTGAAGGGTAGGAAAGGGCGAGGAACAGAGGAGACTGTGCACTCCTCGGGACAGCCTGCCACCAGCTACCTGGAGCCCAGAAATGAATGGTGCCTCCCCATGAGGGGAGGTGGGGTCACAGTGTAACTCCCAACCAGCCTGGAACTAGCAGGGCTGAGCTGAGCTGCTTTGCCATTTTTGCTCTTTCCAAGAACATCCTAGTACCCCCCCGCGGCTTTTCTTTAGCATCAACTAGATGACTCCCAAAGTCTATGCTAGGAGCAAAGAGGCTGCAGAATGTGTGGGCGACCACTCCTCATGGGCACAGTCCTATAAAAACCCTGGCAAACCCCTTCCCTTCTCTGGATCTATGTGGACATGTGTCATGTCCTGGCATTCCTGTTGCTGCAGGTCAGGGACAAGAGTTGGTGCACAAAACTAGACACTGAATTCTTAACCCCCACCCCAAAATGAGCCACTGAAGCAAGAACACCTACCAGTTTCTTAGGTCTGCCCCTGGGTTTCCTCCCTGGAGCTGTGGTGGTTTTCTGGAGGGTCAGAGAAAATATCCCGTAAGTAAAAAAATGCTAGGAAGCCCCCACTCAGTGCCCAGTGCCCATTAGTGAGGAGAGGAAAGGGAGGTACAGAACTACCCACTGTGCTCAGGGCAACCCAGGACTCACCCCAAAGGCCCACCCAAGTCCAGCTGCTGATGACTGGCCAGCCACACTTGCCCCCCACCCAACATACACACACACCCCCTGCCCCCTCCTCCACCTGTGACTCAGAGGATATGAGTCGTGTCTCAGAAAAAATAAAACACAAAACAACCCTTCTGAAAGGCTCATGCCACTGGGAATCTGGCCTTCCCTGCTTATCCCCACCTCTTTGGGCTCCAGGGACCCCAAGGGTGAAGGGGACATTCTTGGCCAGGGGCTGGAAGAAGCCCTTTACTCTCCCCATATCGCCACCTTTCTCCAGACTGGAAAGCCACCCAAACTTCTGACTTGATTTCCCCACCATCAGTGACAGGGCCAAGGCCACAGAAGAGACCTCAGTCATGACCCTGCTTCCCACGCTTAGCAAAGACCCACCACCCACTATGTACCAGGATGGGGTGGGGTGAAGAATCAGGACAAGCAGTCTCTTCCCAGCCTCCCTACAGATAGATGTGCCCATGAAAAACCAGAGGGGCCTCTCTCCAGTGGCCCAGGTGGGGCTATTTCCCCTCAAGCCTCACCCGGGTCTTGGCAGCGCCCTTGTTTTTGCTCCCCTTTGGTCGGCCCCGAGGTCTCTTGGGTGTTGGCACTTCGCTGGGTTCCTTCTGCAGAGATAGAAGGAGGCAGTCAGGGTCATAGCCACCACCTGTCTGTCCAAGCCCCTTCAGAAGACACCCCTGTGCCCCACCCAGCAGGGTTAAGTTAGCAAGAAAATTCCTGACCCAGTCAAACAGAACCAAGGCAGGAGGCTGGCAGGAGGCTAGCAGGAGGCCAGACGGAGGCCAGCCCTTCAGGATTCAGGGCCTCAATGTGACCATTTTTCAAAGCCCCCCCCCCCCCCCCACCACCACCACTTTCTTCCCTGGAGGTTTCTGGGACAATGAAATGACAAGAAGCCAGAAGACCTCTGGGAAAGATGCCATGGGCAGGAAGAAACTCTTAGATGGTCCTGCTCCTGATCTTGGGCAAAATACTTAATGTTGGAGCCTCAGCCTCCACCCTACAGGAGGTCATAAAACCAAATCAATATGAGGCAAATATTTGGCACTGGCCTTGATCATTATCACCTTTCTCCCATAAGATATGCTGAAAACTGGGGAGACTCCTAGAGAAATTATGCCTAGACTCCAGAGATCCCTACCACTGTTGCTGAATTTTAAAAGCCCAAGACAAAATAAAAAGCTTCTGCATAACACATAGAAGGACACTCTTAGGGGCAGCTCCAGGGGCCCTTTATAAGCATGGCCCTGTAACCCCCGACCTCTGCCAAAAGGTGGAATAAGGGAGGCAAAGGGGCTGGGCTAAGAGGATGAGTCCAGCACCCTGTCCTGAAGGTGCTGAATTCACCACACAATCAAGACTCTTTCTCTTTGGGTACCAGGGATTGAACTCAGGGGCACTCTGCCACTGAGCCACATCCCCAGCCCTATTTTGTATTTTACTTAGAGACAGGGTCTGAGTTGCTCAGTACCTCCTTATTGCTAAGGCTGGTTTTGAACTCTCGATCCTCCTGTCTCAGCCTCCCGAGCCACTGGGACTATAGGCGTGCCACTGTACCCAGCAGACTCTTTCTTAATTCATAGTCTCCTGAGACTCCCTGGCTACAGCTGGGAAGACCTGCAGGTGTAACAACCTGCCTCATGCTGAAGGGACGAGGCCAACTTCAATTCTTCTGTTCCTCAGGAAGAGGAAGTAACTAGGCTTCAACAACCATCCCTTGCTTGGGAGACAGCTTCCTTCCTGTGACAAGATCTCTGCCACATTAACAGGTGGCCACATTCCCTAGGGTGCCTAACACTGCCAGCAGTCACCCCACCCCACTATGGGACATTATAGGGTAGCAGCACCAAGGTTACTGCCACTAATTACCCAACACCTTCAATTTCTTGGGCCTCATTAATGTTTTCAGAGCCAGGGACAAAGCCCACCTGAGGACTACTTAAATTGTGGCCTGCGAATAGGTGCTGGCCCAGGAATTCATTATGGGCCTGAAATGGACAAAAATTGACAGTGTATAGAAACTTGTACAGCAAATTGACAAGGAGTAATCTTATATGCACTGAATCTTATGATTAAAACCCTGGGAGATAAATCACTGACCTCTGTGTAGACCACTGGGTTGTTTCTGGCCTGGATTTCTGGCACTGGCTTTAAAACCACCTTATCTTGAGTTCCTCAGGCCCCAGGACACTCTCCTGGGATGTCTGAAGGATCTGATTATACAGTCGTCGTACAAGTTATGAGCACACAGACATGCAGGCATGATTCTGGACCCTTCCATGCCATGTCCACACTTACCGAGCCACCAAGCACCTCCCTAGCCCCAAAGGGTAAATCGAGGCAAAGTTTTGGACACCCACCTGACTCCCTACCAGCGCTGTCCCGGGACTCACCGGAGGCTGCTTGCGCGGCCTGCCCCGGCCTCGCTTCTCAGTACCATCCTTTTCCTGCTTGGAGGCCAAGGGCTGGCTGGACTTTGAGCTTGACTCACTCATCTTCCTTCACTATGGAGCAGATGAAGAGCAAGGCTGGGATGCTGGAGACAGAAAAAGTAAATCTTAAACAAAACATCAGCTTCAGCAATCTTCTACCTCTCACCACCCCCACCCTGGACACACTGCAGGAACCGCCTGCTTCCAGTGGACCCCAGGACTCCGACCCTACCCTAGACAGAAGGTGCTGCCCATCCCATACATGCTACCACGGAGTGGAGGGGTGGAGCAGTGCCGTTGGTTCTAATCAGCTCCTTATCTTTTTTTAGAAGGGTTCTTTGTTGTCCTGCAGCCACAGGGGTGGTGCCATGAGGTGCTGCCAGCCCAGACCTGGTAAGGCAGCCCAAGGACAAAGGTGAGGGGAAAATGGGATCCCACAAACTGCCAAGGACCCCTCCCTCTTGTCAGCAGCTGCTGCTCTCTCTTGTGAAAACCATGCCTAGGCAGTTCTGAGGGGAGTAAAAAGTCAAGTGGAAAAAAAGAAACCGTGGTATCTGCAGCCATGAATGTCATCCCCCTGCCCCTGCACTGACACTGCCTATCTGGCAAGGTCCCAAGCCTGAGGACCAGATGCTAAGAAGGGCCAATCAGAGTGTGGGGATGTCAACCAGCCAGTTCTCTCTGCTCTCTCCCAGGGCAAACTCTAAAGGATTCAGAGATGGAGACAACTGAGGGAGAGAGGAAATGGCTGAATGTGCAGAGGGTGAGGGAAAGGAGCTGGGGATGTCCTCTCCCCCCAACCTGGCCCACCTGGAGACAGATGGGGCTCACTTACAGGAGGGGTGGGACTCCAGAATGGACCCTTCCTGGGAGACCTATATCTCTACCAACCTGTCCTTGGTTAGGGGTGGGCACAAGTGGCCCCACTTCTGAAAGTCTGCCCATCTGTAAGATGGGCACAAGGCAGCACCTGCCTCAACACCCTACCCCCAGATCTTTCCAGACTGCTGAGGCTGAACCAGGCAGTATTTAAAGAGACTTGGATGGAAAGACATCTCACTCACCACAGTGAGAACTAAACTTTTTGAAGATGTTTCTTTTCTCTTTTCAGATTGAGGCAATTTCCAATTTTAACCCAATGACAAGAAAACATTTTTGGAAACTTGATTTTTGAAGGGCTCCGACCCCACTCTCGAGCACTTAGAGACCCTGCAGATGGCAGGACTTTGGTAATCATTCTATTTTATAATATTTCAGACTGGGAGACCCTTTTAAACAGGGTGGTTGGTGATTTATCCTGCTCCATCATTAGTGGCTTGCTCTGCTCTGTAATTACAGGCAGTGATTAGGATCTCACATTACACCACAGGTCCCCCCTCAAACTAAACATCAAAATTAATCAGCTAAATTAGTGCTGACCTCACATGAGGTCTGCCTCAGGCCCTCTCAGAGGGGGTTCAGGTGGGGAACCAGTCTCTCTGGAAGCTCTCATGCTGTCTGGTTTCTCTACCCACCTCTGACTATAAGGGACCCCTTAATTCACCCACTCCCACCTTTCAGTTAGGTCCCCACTGAATGAAGGAGGCAGGCCCTGTCATTAATAATGAGGCCAAGGAAGGCTTGTCTTTTCCACCTGTTTCTGAACATCAGGGAGGCCTGGCTTGGAGAAGCCACATTTCGGGCCCAATACCAATCCCTGTTTGTAATAAGCCCTTCTGAGCCTTAAACCTATCTCCTCCATACAACGTGCAGTGTGTGTGGCCCTTAAATGATTAGAATTCTGCAAAAATAATTCAGAAAAAATCTGGCAGCTCCATTATTTTCCAGGAAAAAAAAAGTGGCCCAGAGAAGCCCGATGAGTGGCCCAAGGTCACACAGCAAGTTGGCGAGAAGGATGGAGTAGGTTCTCAGTGGCCCTTCCAGTCCGCCACTTTGTACAGGGCCTAGCAGCTAGTTAAAACTCGATTGCCCCCAGCTCCAGACCGACCCTGGGTGACTCTGCTAGTGTCTGCAGCCGGCCTACAACCGCCGGCCAGCCGGACTAGGAGCTAGGGCGCGCGGGGGGAGGGGCGCAGGCCATTCCTGCAGGCGCGGGAAACCAGCGCACCCCGACCGCATGCACCGCCACGCGGGTGCACCCGGCCCCACTTCCTGCCAGAGGGGGCACCCAAGCCCGCCTTGGGGCAGGAAACCTGGCGCGCGCTAGAGGAAGAAAACCCCCTCTCCTCCCTACCTTTCCCGAAAAATAAAACCCCAGAAAAAAAAAACAGAAACGGGGAGTCAAAGGGACTAGTTCCAACAGAGCCCAGCAAAGCAGAGAAACCAGTTTGTGGGGGCGGAGGGCCCTGGGGGCTGAAGAGGCGCGGGCCGGGCCAGAGGTAGGGTCGGGGTGAAGCCCCAAGCTCAGGCCCGCGATCCGGCCTCATCTGCGGAGCGGCCCCGGGGAGAAAGGCCGAGAGAGGGCAGAGCCGAATCTCGGGGCTCCCGCCCCTCCCCCTCACTTCGAGAACTTCCCCAGGATGCTGGGGGCGCTCGACCCCCCGCTCGCCCACTGCGCCGCAGCCCGTGCCTCTCCCCGCCCCCCACCCGGCCCGGGCTCGGGCGGGAGCGGCGGCCGCGCGAGGTGCACCGGGCTCCGCTGGGTGCACAACTCGCGCCCGCTGCAGCCGCGCAACCCCCTCCCCCACCGCGCGCCTTTCCCGGGTCCCCGCCCCCCGCAGGGCGCCCGCGGCGCTGGGGACCCGGTGCGAAAAAAAAAAAAAAAAAAAAATGCCCCGCCGCCCGCCCCCGCGCCGCGCGGCCCTCCCCGCCGGCGGATCGCGCCGCCCGGGCCTGGGAATAAAGCCGGCGGCGCGCGCTGCAGCCCCGGGCGGCTCGCAGGAGGGGCGGCGTGCGGGCGGGGGCGCGGGCGCCCCCCTCGGCCGCCGCCGCCGCGGGCCCCGGGGACGACTCACCGCGAGCTCGGCTGCCGGCCTGCGGTGCGCGCTCCGGGCTGCCGGGAGCGACGGTGCTGGGCGCTGAGGACCGGCCTGGCTCCGCCGCCGCCGCCGCCGCCGCTAGCAAATGCGGATCTGAAACCGGGAGAGAGGGCAGAGGCGCTCAGAGACCGCCGCCGCCGCGTGCTCGCCGCCAAGGCCCCCGCGGGGTATTTATATGTCACATCCAGGCGGGGGGACAAAAATATCCCCCCTCCCCCAGAGGATGGCGAGGGGCAGGAAGCTGGGCACGGCCCGTGCGCGGCCTCAATAAATAAATAATTTAATTAAATTATAGATATAAAAAAAAGAAGCCACCGGAGCGGCCGCGAACTCACGCCTTCTTGGAGCCGCGCCAGCGCCAGAAATAGCCCCGGCTCGGAGTCCCAATTAGAGGAGCGCAGCCCCGGCTCAGGGGAGCTTAAAAAAGAGCGACCCAGGGGCAGGGGGGACGGGCCCGCCCGCGCCAGCCGTGTCACTGGGGTGGGCGGGGCCATGCAAATGAGCCCGGGGATTTAAAAGGGCGGCCGCCCGCCAGCCGCCGCCGCGCGCGGGTGGGTGCTGTCCGTGGGCTGGCCTGCGCGGGAGGCCTGGACCGGCAGCCCGAGTCCACGGCCCACTCCCACAGTCCCGGGCGAGGAAATACGGGAGCGGGCGACGAGGAGTCTCGAAGGAGCTTTTCTCGTGGGTGGGGGTTGACGGGGGCGTGCTTCCTGCCTGGAATGGGGTCCCGGGTCAGTCACCTCTGGGGTCGTTCCGGGCGTGTGGGCCCGACCCCCGCATGGCGCGTGGGTGTGGGCGGGCGCTCGCGCCTCCGGGGGTCCACGCGGGCGGAGGGGGTGGAGATAAACGCGCCACTTGGAGAATTCCGCGGCCTACTCGCCGCCCCTTTCGCCTAGATCGACGGCTCATAGATTTCCCTTGGGCGGACAGGTGTCAGCATGTGCGTTTCGGCGTCAACCCGCGTGTGGTTGGCGGGTGAAATACAAGTCTTGTGAAATTCCGACGTGAAACTCGGGAAATGCTAAGTGTTTAAATTTATTAACGGCCGCAAGTGAGCCGTAATCAAGGTGCAGCCTTCAAGCGAAACAAACGATTGGCCCTTTAGCTACAGGTAGCCCAGAGGGAGGAGTTACCCTTCTAGGTGACCTGGATGGGGTTCTGGAGACACGCGGTCCCACTTCGGACCCTGATCCCCTCCACGGCGACTTTTTAAAAAGTAAAGGGCGGGTCAGAGGCCGCCTGGAAGCGCTTTGAGGGCAGGGGCTGAGTTGACGCACACCATATCCGCCGGGCCTTGGCCCGCTTGGCGCCTGGTTCAACAAAGACTTGTTGCACGGAGCGAGGAGGAAGCCAAAGTGGGAAGATGGCGGGGAGGGCGGTGGGGGAAGAAGGCGCAGCCGAGAGGCGCGCCCTGCAGGCCGGCCCGGGCCCTCCCGGTGCACCTCCCTGCGCCTGGTCCCTGAGGCGGCCTTCCACACCTCCTGTGATGCAGGGAATAGCAATGCGGCCCAGTGACACAGGGCTGTGACTCATGTTTTTCAGGGCTCCCCTTCTTCCTCCCCGGTCAGCCGAGGCCCTGGTCCAGCCCCCTCCTCAGGGGCGAGCCGGTGGAGGGGCTACGCCAGGCAAACCCAGCGCCCGGCGTGGAGGCGGGGTGGAGAACTCGAGGGGCCGGGCCTCCAAGTTTCAGGAATGCCTCAGGAATGTTTCCGGTGGGGGTGGGGAGCGGGGCGGGCAGCCGGGCCCAGCCCCCACCGGGCCGGCGGGATGGCGCTCTGGGCGCGGGGCAGCACGTGCTCGGCCGGTGGGGGCGGGGCGCGGGCGCCCGGGCGGGAAGGCGCTGGAGGCCCAGAGTGGGTTCAAAGGGGAGGGCACGGGCCTGGGGCGGCCGGCCTCCGCGCGCTGCTCCCGCCCCACGCCCAGGTGAAAGGCAGTTCCTGAGGAGACCTGGGGCCGGTCCTGGAGGGAGAGGAAGTCACCGAAGGGCGGCCAGCGAGGAGGGGAGAGGAGGGCGGTGGGGGAGGGGCGGCTGCCCCTTTGTCTGGAGCGCTGGGGGTGGGGCGGGGTGGAAGCGCGCTGCTCCTTCCATCTTTGTGCCCCGCGCGCCGAGCGCGCGCTTAGTAGGCCGCGAGCGGAGTTAGCTGGAGGGCTCTCAAGTTGCGATCCGCGGCACCTTTGCAGGACTGAGTGGGAAAGAGAACCTTCCGCCCCTGCCACACCCTGTCCCAGGTCGCAGGCCCTAGGCAGCAACCCGGGCGCCCAGGTGCGGGCCCGAGCATGTGCCCCAGCGCCGGGCGCCCTTCGACAGAGCCCTCCCTGAGGCCGCGTAGGCTCCTAGGCCGGGGCTCTGGGGCTGGCGGCCTCCTGGGTTTCGTCAGCCCCTTTCTGCAGATGCCGCTGACCGCGAGGCAGCCCCCTATCCGGACGGGACGCGTGGCCCTCCCCAGGAGGAGCTTGGGCAGGAGGAAGGGTCCTCCGCCCCGAGCGGGTTGTGGGAAAGCTTGGCCAACTTCTGGGCCCGCTTTTAGCCAGCCGACGTGGTTCTGTTTTTCCCCTCGTCCTGATTTTGCTCACCGACTTGTTTTCTACCTTGCATTGTGTGTATTTTTGTAAGCCACCTCAAACCCTCTCTGGAAGAAGGCGCAGGTATAAATAAATTCGTAGGCAAATAAATATAGTAGCTTGTTCCTCTCCAGGATTACCCACACCCTTGAAATCCAAATAACTCTACCCACTGACCCCCACCTTCAGGCTTTCTGGATGCAAATGCCCCGGATTCACTTCCTTTCCTTGCTTCCTCTTGAACAGAAGGGTGAGTGGTGGGGGTAAAAAGATGAATGAGTCCCAGCGGATTTCCCGAATTTCCCGAGTAGAGGAATCAGGACCGGGAATACACCAAGAGAAAGCTGCATAACAACCCAGGAACTGCCATGAGGCTGAAAACATTGAGTGACTACTGTGTAACCAGGAGCTAGTCCCAACTCTTGGGGTACAGCCAATGAATAAAGCAAAGTCCTATTTTTGAAACTTGAAAAGTGGGGGAGGCAGATGCTTAAAGAAAGAGGGTTGGAGCTCCAAAAGGTAGAGAAAGATGGGCTTGAGCAGGCCTTCCTGGGATTTGGATGGCTGGGGTGGGAAGGACACACCACGGGGAGAGGGAGCTGTTCCAGGCCTGGGACATCAGCTGGTTGGCCAAGGCCTGAGGGGTCCCAGAGGAATTGCCATCAGAACCAGTCTTCTCCCAGGAAACATTTTCCAGTGATTGGAGTTGACTTACACATTACTCTCAAGGACAGCCTGGCAAACCAACAAGAATGTGTGGGGAATGGGGAGGGAGTTCAGGTCAACTTTATTTCAGGACAGCTGAGGTAGCTCATTTTTTAGACTACATGGGAGGGCAGGTGCAGAGGTTCTGTTTAGTTGTGTGGCTAGGTGGTAAGATGTGTTGGTGTTCTAGGGGTCTAGGCGAACCGGAAGTAGATGGGAAGGGTGGTGGAGGGGAGGGTTAGGTATCCATCTAACCTGTTGTCCAGATCAGTAAAGTAAAAAGTAAAACTTTTACTGGTAAAATCTATACAAGCAGAAAACACTCATAAGTGTTGAACTTGATGTAGTTTTACAAAGTGAACCCTTTTGTGTCACTAGTACCCAGATCAATAGGTCTGTGGCCCCTGCATGTTACCATTCTCACATCCGTGTATGTCCCCGTGGGGATGGAGCCAGGCACTGCGTACTTTCCTCAGTTTCCTTTGTTCAGCGTTGCATCTGTGAAATTCATCCATCCCATCGCATGTGGCTTCAGAATGCACATCCTCATGACTGCATAGTTACATGGTGTGAATGTTCCACAACTTATTTATGCATTCTGTTGAAGGGCACTTGGATAATTTCTGGTTTGAGACTATTGGAAATAGTGCTGCAATGAGTGTTCTAGAATATTCCTGGTGAGTAGATGTGCAAATTTCTGTTGGGTACATGCCTAGGAGAGGAGTTACTGGATCACAGGATATGCATGCTCAGCTTTAGCAGACAAGCAAGACACTTCAGAGTGAAAGGAGCACTATTAATAGTTAGGAGCAGACAACGGGCATAAACTTGATCTGGCCCATAGCAACTGGGACTGACCCAAGCAAGCCAAGAGGTAGGGTCACCCTGGCACACAGTGTTTGACCACTCTTCTGGAGAGCCACCCAGCTACTAGTGCATCTGGTCATCTGGCAGGATCAGGCCTCCAGGCCCTGCTGACCACAAGCTCTGCTGCCAGGAAGCCTGGCAGGCCTAGAGTGGGAGGAGGGCCTCTTCGGGTTCCAACTTTCGAGGGAAAAACTCTCAAGTAAAGGAGGGCCCGGGAAGCAGGCACCTTTCTGCTTCCCTGATGTGAGCTGGCCACCCACCCTGCACTGCCCAGGTCACCGTGGGTTTTATCATTTTTCCTCTTCAGGGCTGGATCTCCAGGGAAACACAGTTTTTATCCAGCCTCAGGGGGAAAAAAAAAAAAAAACTGGAGGTGGAGTTTGCAAAAGCATAACGTTCTCCCAGATCCCTCAACACCCTTACCATCAGGAATGCTAGTGCCTGTTTTACGGGTGTTAAAACTGAAGGGCTAGCTGGGCACGGTGGCACACACCTGTAATCCCAGCGGCTCAGGAGGCTGAGACAGGAGGATCACGAATTCAAAGCCAGCCTCAGCAACAGCAAGGTGCTAAGCAACTCAATGAGACCTTGTCCCTAAATAAAATACAAAGTAGGGTTGGGGATGTGGCTCAGCAGAGTGCTCCTGAGCTCACTCCCTGGTATAAAAAGAAAACAACCTCAAGGCTGAGAATGTGGGTCAGTGGTAGAGTGCTTGTCTGGCATGTGCAAGACCCTGGGTAGCAGAGCCAGGATGCAAACAAACAAAAGGGACAGCTGAGTCTTGGGTAGTTAAGTAGCTTAGGATTCTGCCTCTTCCTGTCCCTCTACTCCCAGGCTGGCTGGTTTGTTGCCTTCTCCCAGCCTGACCAGATTGATCTGGTGTGTGGCTTTGAATGGAGTAGCTACATTCCTGTCCTCAAGGGGTTTCCTCTGGGGTGGGGGTAGACAAGAACATGGACAATTTCACCATGCAGTGTAACTGTAAGGGGGCCTGGGGAAGCCTAGGGCAGGGACCCAGGACATATTGCAGGAGGCCCAGGAAGCAGACAGGTAGGAACAGCAGTGTCTGGCAGGGGTTTGGGCGTGGAGGTGTGACTGTCATGGTAGTTTGGAAATATTGTCATGTGGGCTGTGGAGATTCAACAGCACATTCAGCATCATCCAGTCACTAGTTTTGGACTTTGGTCAGAGCTGAGAGAAAGGCCTCCTATTCCTAGATCACAACTCAGCCCTACTGTGGGGCTTCCTGACACCCTACCCCATCACTGGGGCAGAGGCCAAGAGCTCAGTCCTGTTGTTCCAGGAGGTCAGG